TTTATGATATTAGCGCAACCATTTCTCAAATCCAAATTTTCAGTGACCCAAAGCTCAGTATTTGACGTGATTGACAGCTGGCTCTGCCTATCTAGAGGCAGAGCCAGCTGTACCCACATCCTCCCCAGTTCGTTCCTCCAGTCAGCGCTGGAGGATCAGACAGGGGAGGGGGGAATCCCTGCAGGGAGCCGTGGCTGACAGTCAGCGCTCCCTGCAGGGACATGATCGAGAAGTAAGCGAAAGCGAGCGACGGTATGTGTTCGCTCACTTCCAGATCTATTGAGCCGACGTGTGACAGTTTCATTGTCACAGGTCGGCTCGAACTATGAGGTTGAGTGAAAATCACTCACCTCATAGTTCTCCTTTAAGTTAATTTTAGTGCAGGAAAACACAATATAGCACCCAATTTTTGGGTATAAAAAAGGAGATTGCACTGAGTGAATAGATACCAAACATGTCATGCTTCAAAATTGCATGTGCCCGTTAAATGGTAAAAATTAGGGATGCACCGATACCGATACTAGTATCGGTATCAGTGCCGATGCCGAGTATTTGGGCGAGTACACGTACTCGCCCAAATGCTCCAATGCCTAGCCTGATACTTCCGGTGTCAGGAAGCCAGGCAGCGAGTCATTACACGCTGCACGGCTTCCTGATTGGCCAGAAAGCCAGCTCCATGCTTTCTCGTCACCTAGTGACAAGAAGCATGGGGACGGCTTCCCTGCTAATCGGGAAGCTGGGTGGCGAGTCTTTACACACTACCCGGCTTCCCGGCTACTCAGGTAGCCAGGTGGTGAGTCATTACACGCCGCCTGGCTTCCTTAATGGGACTTTCAGTATCGGCGAGTACCGAAAAAAAAATATCGGTACACGTACTTGATATTGAAATACCGGTATCGGTGCATCCCTAGTAAAAATCTACAGTGCCCATAATTTTCTAGAGGTGACATTTTAGAAGCTTTTACAGGTCTATCATTTTAGAGTGAACCGTGAATCTTATATCTGTAAAATAAAATCAAGGCAACTGGACTTGCTGCATTTTTCTTGAAGACGTTTAACTGGACATCCGACCAGGGGCGGACTGACCATTCGGGCAGTCGGGCACGGACCGAGGGCCTGCGGCCATCAGGGGGCCCGTCACTGACCGTCCCCTCGCCGCTACCTCTCTGCCATCTGCACCCGGTCACCCGGCAATAAGTAGTTAGTACTTCTTCAGCACATGGGTTCCTATGTATAGTCAGCTACCAATTTTATTGAAAATATATGTTTTTATTTTAAATAAAATTGGTAGCTGACTGTGCATAGGCGTGCTGTGCTTTGTTTTTTTTTTCCTTTTGAAATATTTAGGCCCCAGAGAGCAACAAGAAAATGGCGTTGTTGGTTTTTCTTAA